GATTTCCAAACCTCGATAATTACCTCTGAATTCCGCACTCCTTTTATGACAGTTGGCCGTGGCGTATTGCAAGGAGATTGCCTCAGTCCTCTTCTTTTTAACATGTGCTTCAATAATTTCATTCAGCATATCAAGGCTGAAAAGTACCGTCAATTTGGGTTTTCCTTCAAATTACTAAATCCCATCCATTGGCTCCAGTTTGCTGATGACGCGGCTGTAATTACTGGCCAAGAATCCGAAAACCAACATCTATTAAATCGATTTTCTATCTGGTGCCAATGGTCCGATATGATTATCCGAGTTGACAAATGCAGTACCTTTGGCATTAAAAAAGCGGTCACAAAATCAGTTCAGTACTTGCCAAAACTCCTCATCAGCAATCAACTAATACCAAAAATCACCATTGGAGAATCATTTCAATATTTAGGACGTTACTTTGATTTCCACATGTCGAATGATAATCACAAAACTGAACTAGTCACCCTACTTAACGAACTAATGTCTGATGTTGACTCAAAGCCACTACAACCTAAAAATAAACTGCTCCTCTACAGTCGCTACGTCTTGTCCAAGTTAGCCTGGCACCTCACCGTCGCAACACTCTCTAAAACATGGGTTACTGAAAATATCGACTCTATTGCCAACAAATATATCCGCAGATGGCTTGAAGTACCAATATCAGGAACACTAAGTACTGTCTTTCTAACAAATAACAAATTTGGCCTGAGTATTTATCCTCCATCTGTAAAATTTATCCAGTGTCAAACAGTCCTCCGAAAAGCTTTAAAATCTTCTCCTAATGAATCAACTAACGACCTGTGGAGAGCAACCAGTAACCATACTAATATCCAATATGACGCTTATAACTCTACTAAGGAAGTTCTCAAAGATTTCCGTTCTGGACACGAAAACAAACTCCTAAACCAATTAACCAGTCAAGGATCCTTTTTCTGCAGCGTCACGAAGTTCGCTTTACCTCAGCTTAGCAAGGTGTGGTCCGTCGCCCAATCAAAGCTCCCGAAAAACATTTACAACTTTACCATTCGTTACATTAACAACTCTCTTCCGACGCGCAAAAACCTAAACAGATGGGCAATATCTTCAAATTCAGACTGTTCTTTTTGTCTTAGCCCTGAAACATTACTACACATGCATAGTAGCTGGATGTCAGTTTTATCTCGACCGATTTACGTGGAGACACAATTCAGTCCTGAACTTTCTTGCTCATCAGTTACAAACTGTTGACGGTTCTACTCTCTACGCTGATCTAAATGGATTCAAAAGCCCTTCAATACTTACTGGTGATACGCATCGCCCAGATTTGTTATTATCGTGCTCAAATGGTTCCTTATATGTGGTTGAACTCACCACTGGTTATGAGACAAACCTCAAAAACAACGTAAAACGGAAGAAGGATAAATATAGAGAATTATTGAGACAGCTAGGTAAAAATTTTAACCAAGTTAAATTTATAAATCTCTCCATCAGCTCTTTAGGTATTTTTGCAGAAGAATGTTATACATTTTTAGACATGTTAGATAGTATTGGTCTTGACAAAAACCACCAAATGTACTGCGTTAGGAAAATGATGACTATTGCTATTAGAACTACATATTACATTTTTTGTTGCCGAAATAAGGAATGGGAAAATCCGGATTTACTAACAATTTGACTTATCTCATTGTAAATATATATATATTGCATGCACTTTGTTCTGTTATTTTAGTTTAGTATAATTGTGATTCAAATAGCCAACCGTAAGTTACCTTTATGAGAGAGATTTACGATTGTATATGTATGTAAAGAAAAACATTTAATAAAGTTTCCATTATTGATCTTTAAACACGGTAACCTTTCACATAGGTGATTTTCAAAGGGCCGTGCGGAAAATAAATGCATTATAAAAGAAGGAACTAATAAACTAATTATACTTATTTACAAAATATACTTATTTACTTATTTACTTATTTACAAGATGTAATTATTTAATAGATGATGGACAGATTTGAAGCTTGTTGATTCTCTTAGGGTTTTCAACAAGTTTACTGGGATGTTGTTCCAATACTCCGCTCCTCTGTACGAAAAGCTATTTTTCAAGAAATTCGTTTTTGGTTTAGGTTGAGACAGCTTTAAATTACTACTGCGCAGTACGTAACCATTGTTTTCACAAGTGTGAAATAATTGTGTTACTTATTCTGGAAGCATGTCATTAATCGCTTTAAATGTCATAAGGAGATCTCGCTTTTTCAAAATTAAGTCAAGAGGTTTCCAGCTAAGTTTTTGAAAAATGTCCGAAGATCTTATAGTATAGTCCGAATTTGTTATTATTCTTGCTGCTCGTTTCTGAAGCTTATATAATTTGTCTAAGTGTGTTTGGTTGTTATTTTGCCAAACAGTTGAACAGTAGTTAAAATGAGGCGCGACTAATGCGTTATACATAATTTTGAGCGTATCTTAGCCTGCGAACAGGCTCTCAAGCTGAATTGAGAGCCTGCATCGATGACTAATGAGTTTGAATATCTGCGTCTCAAATCGTGACGCGAAATTCTCATTGGTCAGATGCTATAATTTATATTATTCCGCTGAGCTCTATATATGTCAACTGCTAACTATGCGTAAAAAACACATCAACTGATCAAATTGGTCTTGGCCGTCTTATCTCAAAGCACGAAATGTTCTGATTTGAGAAAACAGTATTTAAAACATTTACACTTTTGCTTCAATATCCGTGATATTTCGAAAAACAGTATAAACTGTACGGTCTAAATTTAGTTTGCATGGTCTAAATTTAGTTTGCATGGTCTAAATTTAGTTTGCACGAAAGTTGTAAACAACACCATATTAGGATAGACATTCCATATTTGGAAAAACGAACGTTACAGGGCAGATATTCAAATTGTTAGTCATCGATGCAGGTTCTCAATTCAGCTTGAGACTGTTCGCAGGCTAAGCGTATCTAGGCCAACAAAATCTTTGGCTTTTCTTAAAAGATTAATATTTTTTGATATCTTGTTGCATTGTTCTTCATTTTGCTTATTCCAGCTAAGTCTATCGTCTATAACTATACCCAAAGCTTCCTTTTTATAAACTCGTTCAATTTGATGTCCGTTTATACTGATTTTTGGCACGTGATCTAAGTTTTTCAATCGTTGCCGAGATCCAATAATCATATATTTGGTTTTTTCGTTGTTTAATGTTAGTTTATTCGCTGATAACCATTTTTGAGCATTTACTAGGTCTTTGTTAAGTTTGTATTCAATATCTATGGATAAATGCCCTTGACATGATAAAATTGTGTCATCAGCAAATAAATTAGAGTGTGTTGTTTCTAGGCAGTTTGGGAGGTCGTTTATGTAAATGAGAAATATTAGAGGTCCAAGATTTGAACCCTGAAGTACTCCACAACGAATTGTTTCAATATCAGATTTACAGTTATTTAGCATGCAAATTTGCTTTCTTTGATCTAAATACGATTGGAACCATTTGAGCGTGTGGTCGCGTATCCCATAAGCTCGTAGTTTTGACAATAGAATCTGGTGATCAATCGTATCAAATGCTTTTTTCAGGTCTAAGAAGTCAGTTTCTTAACTAAACGTTCACAACATTTTATATTGATATATTGCGTGAGTTCTTAAGAACGAAGCAACAACATATTACATATTATTGATATAAGGATCTCCCGTTCCCGTGTTATGTGTGTGGTCTGTTGAGAACGAAGCAAAAATATATTATATTGATATCTTGCGCGTCTCTTCAGAACAAAGGAACGACATAGCCTATATAACGACATATATATAGCATATTTTGCTTTCCTAGTTCCGTGATCAGTTTCTTAACTGAACGTTCACAACATATTATATGGATATATTGAGTGAGTTCTTAAGAACGAAGCAATTATAACAGATTATATCATATTGATATAAGGATCTTTCCTTTCCCGCGTTATATACGTGGTCTCTTGAGAACGAAGCAACAACATTACATATTATATTGATATATTGCGTGTAGCTTTCTCAGAAACAACAACATATTATATTGCTATATGATATAGGCTATTCCGTGGTTTTTGAAAACGAAGCAACTACTATATTAGCTATATTGATATATTGCGCATCTCTTGAGAACAAAGCAACGAAGCAACATTATATTGCTATATGATATATTGCGTGAGTTCTTAAGAACGAAGCAACAACATATTATATTTATTTATTCATAATTATAACGATATTCCCGTTCCCCTGTTATTTACGCGTGGTCTCTTGAGAACGAAGCAAAATTATGTTGATATATATTGCGTGAGTTCTTAAGAACGAAGCAACAACATATTGTTATATTATTGATATAAGAAATGTCTATTGACTTGAAATGTCTATTTGTCTATTGCATATTATTTTTCCATTGGATCCAATTGACAGGTCATTTTCCAATGGACAGGTTATTTTTCCATTGGATCCAATGGACAAGTAAAATTCCATTGGACAATAATTGGTCCATTGGATCCATTGGAACATCTCTCTGGTTTCATAATCATGTCCACATGGGGTCTTGCAACCTGTTAATTACGTAATGGTAAAAACGCGGAAGCTCTTATCCGGTTGATGCATTGTTCCGATCGGCAACTGTCACATGGTCTCTTATTCCGTTGATGCATAGTTCCGATTGATCCATCGCTGGCCAATGGCCATTCCATTTGTCCATTGGATCCAATGGACACGCAAAAGTCCAAGGAAAATTGGAGGTCCATTTGATCCATTTGACAAATGGAATGTCCAATGACCTTTTGATTTTTCCATCGGACATCTTGCATAAGTATTGGACATGTATGGATGCCGTTGGGTTCGACAGAACTCAATATATTACCGACAAAGACCCGCGGAATCGTATACTCAATTGAACGTATTGAATATGTCAATAATTTTATTCGATCTAAAAGTATAAAAATATAAAACTAATGTAAGTAAAGTATAAATGGTACATACGTGTTCTTTCTCAGTAACTTACTTCTTGGCGAGTCTTTGAACAATCCCCTTTAACAACAAATAATTCGTCCGATATATCTAGCGTGTCCGATATAGTTTCAAGTCGCTATTACAAACCTTATAACACATGTTTTATTTTCTGCGTCTGTGCATAATTAAGAATGGCTAATCTGAATATTTTACATAAATAAATATACATTACGTCACTGTTCGCAACAGTAAACAAATAAAAACTATCGTTCTATAAGGTTCAAAACATTCAGTTTGGTTGTTGACTGATGATGAATCTATAGTATAGACTTGCATGCTTTGTATTTTGAGCTTTATTAAGGCAGGTAAACGGGCTTGGTTTATATTAACACATAAAATAAATTCCTTGATTCTCATCACTAGACACAGTCTACACTTTGAAATGTCGAAGACAGTGGGAGATTTATTTTTTATATTTTATATTTACAGTCGAACCCCTATTAAGCGGACACCTTCGGGACCTCGCCTGCTTTTAAGTGTCCGCTTAATTTAAAAGGGGTGTCCACTCCAAAGGGCTACGTAGAAAAACACAGCAGGAGGCAAAGTGGTGTAATTAGGTGTGTAATTTGTAAACAGTAAAAAATATTAGCAAATAATTAGCATAAAATGAAAATTTCTTTGTGCATAAAAGTTCTTTAGAAAATGTATACGTCTCTCACAGTCATATAAAAAAGGAATCGATACAAGTTTGCTTCCGAGGCTCACGCAGACGATAGCCCATTATAATGTCATTTACATAAAAATGACGTTAGAAAGTTCTTCCAAACCTCGAAATTGTGCGAATTCTGCCAGCCGCTCGACAAATTTAAGGGCTTCGGAGGAAGATTTAATGACTGGTTCGTTAAGAGACCAGTAAAATTCATCATCTTCATTCAGTTCGTTGTCATCATCAGTGATCTCACAAATATCTTTCGGCTCCTTGGCTGGCGGCTCCCAGTCTTCGTTCGTCACTTCCTTAATAATCTTGGCTCTGATGTCTTCGCGCCAGGTTGGTGTGTCACTGTCAATGTGCCATGTAAATTGATCTCAATTGTTATTTACTGTCGAATATTGAATACATTTTATCAGAAAATCTGTCATCTGTCCGCTTAAGAGAGGTTGGTTTGCCCATTGGGACCTCAAGTAAGGTGTCCGCGTCCGTTAAAGAGGGGTGTCCACTTAATAGGGGTTATGATAATAGTATTTTATTAAAGAAAACGAATGGGACCTGAGATATGTGTCCGCTTAAAAGAGGTGTCCGCTTAAGAGAGGTGTCCGCTTATAGGGGTTCGACTGTATATAATTTATATATTAATAGTTCGTATCTCCACGAACAATGACAGAATGACTGAGTTTCTTTAAAATACAATGAAATTTCATTCAAAATTCTGTTTGTTTCAAATTGGAAGTTTAAAATGGCAATAAAAACCCTATATAAAATATAAAAAAATTAACTGTCTTGAATTATTTTGTCGGGCGGTACATTTATATTGTTTAACGAAATATAAAACATTTTCACGAGGATTTTAAAATTCAGTCGGGCGGTGATGAGAATCAAGGAATTTATTTTATGTTGGGCAGTTGGGACTTGGGAACAACTTGGGAGTGGCTAATTTTGAATATTTACTTATTTAGTGACATCTATAAATAGCGTTGATGCTTCAGAGGCGGTAGTTCATTTACACCCAGTTTTGCGGCAGGCGGTATTTCCTAAGTACCGCCTGCCATGCAGGCTAACTGACTGACAATGTATTGTATGGGCTTATAAAACGTAGCCTATCTATGTTAGTAGGCCTATTTGCCCAATATTGCTCTTCAATGCTATCATTATTAGTGATGTCAAACATATTTAAATAATCCTGTAGGTTCATTTCATTGTGGGGCATTGGCACTTGTTTTTCCCGCTTTTGTTTTTTAGATTCACTATCGTTTTGAAGCCTTATTTGTCTTTCACTCTAGGTTTCTTATGGCAGCTTTCTCTTTTTAGACTCTCTATCGTTTTGAAGTCTAATTTGTTCCTGGGTGTCAGCTTCCTCTGACCGCTTTATTTTATTATACTGATTAGATTTGTTAAGTCTAGCTTGTTTATCACATTCATTTTCGTTTGAACGCCTGACTCGTTGGTACTTGATCTTTAAAACGTTTGGTTTCTCGATCAAACGTTTTGCATATATTTTTAAACGGTACAATTTCAAATGAATTGGTATGTAGCCCCATTGACAAACAATACAAATATTGCTCCAACTCGATAATATTAGTAAATGTCATGACAACAGCAGTGCTACTGGGATCAAAAAACGCCATTTGAGTCTCTGGCATGTGAGTCAAATCATTTTCTAGTATTACAATAGTAAATTTTACAAAGGTATTCAAAAGTACTGTGTGAATTCAATATCATAGTAACAAGATTCAATTTATCGATCTGTTATAACCAAACCTTGAAGTTCTTTTTCATAAATTATACAGCAAATTTGGTTTTAATGTCTTGCCTTGGTGCCTCAACGCGCTTCGCCACATTAGGTAAATCAATGTTAGTTTTTGCCTCAATGAGCTTCTCCAGAATCGGTGATCATTCTTTCTGATATGTTAAGCTTGTTTCAAACATCGCGCTACTCATGTGCCGAACGCATTAAGAATAATAGATAATGATGCTTGTGTGATGTTACTCTGAGTCTATATCCACACAGGGCATGCCTGAAAAATATGCCTGGGCACGGTGGGAATCGAACCTACGACCTTTGGAATATTAGCCCAACGCTCTGCCAACTGAGCTACGCGGTCAGGTCGGTTCGAGTATGCGATATTTTGGAACTGATATTTCGGAACTGGTCTAGTTACTTCGATATCAGTGTAATCTAATAATCATGATATTTGCTGTGCTGGTGTAATGTACTCAGGTGAATAAGATGCTTGTGTGATGTTACTCTGAGTGTATATCCACACCAGGCAGCCCTGAAAAATATGCGAAATATCGCATACTCGAATCGACCTGACCGCGCAGCTCAGTTGGCAGAGCGTTGGGCTAGTATTCCAAAGGTCGTAGGTTCTATTCCCGCCGTAGCCAGGCATATTTTCCAGGCCTGCCTGGTGTGGATATACCCTCAGAGTAACACCACAAGCATCTTATTCACCTGAGTACATTACACCAACACAGCAAATAATAGATCATGAGGTGAAATGCTTATGATAACTGTTTATTTCGTAGTGTAATCCATTAGCTATTCTAGTGTTGGTCTATTTCAAATTGAAACTTTACACTATCTTTGTATCCCTAGTATATATAGCGCCATTGCAACGGCTCGCCGCATCTCTGCTCGATAAATGCCAAATTACTTCTTTTGGACTGTGATACAACAAGTGTTATGGGACGAAGTTCACGAAAACTCCTGGTGGGCTACATGACAGGGGGGAGGGGTGTGAATATTTTCACGAAACGTTTGTTCGCCACCACAGCAACCTAACTAAATACGCTATATTTTTTGTATTTTTATGATTCATGATAAAACTACGCAAATATTTATTGTTTTTATCATAGATCGTAAAAATATCAAAAATATAGTATTTAGTTAGGTTGCTGTGGCAAGAACAAACGATTCGTGAAAATATTCATCCTCTGCCTGTAATGTAGCCCGCGGGGAGTTTTAGTAAGATAGTAAGCTTGCCAAAAAGATCAGATTTTATTAAATTAATTTCACTATGTCAAACAAATTGCTAGATATAATGCCCTTTATTGAAACCAGACTTAATTCAACAATACCTGATAGCATGATTCATATTGATGGCTATGACATCATACGAAAAGATAGGTCAAGAAATGGTGGTGGTGTCTGCATTTACCTCCGTTGTTCTATCAACTACAAAATCAGACATGATCTCGCACCACCTGGTTTAGAAACCATATGCATTGAAACTAAGTAAACCACAAAGTCGACCATTTGTGGTTATTACAGTTTATAAAGCCTTAGATGAATCGCTTGATTTTTTATCAATCTTGAAAAGTTGTTTAAAGATATTGGTGATGAAAATAAGGCGATCCATATTCTGGGTGATCTTAACTGTGATCTCATTAAGCCCAATCTTGACCATCCAACAAAGAAACTTAAGTCCTTATTTGAAATTTATCAATTATCCCAATTAATAGATGAAGCAACAAGGATAATTATGTCTTTCCTCTACTCTTATTGACCATTTTACTACCAATGAACCAGAGAAAATTTCCAAACATGGTGTAATTCATACTGAGATTAGTGATCACAGTTTTATTTATGGCATATGAAAAGTTAATGTTTGCCATAAAGTAAATGAAAATATTATTGAAATTAGAAACATGGAAGAATTCAGTGAAGAAAAAGTTTTGCATGACTTAGGAACTCAATCTTGGGAGCATGTCTACTTTTTTGTAGACAATCCTAATACTATGTGGGAAATTTGGAAGGACCTTTTCTTACAAGTCCTAGATAAACATGTTCCACTTCAAAGTAAGAAACTAAAATCTAAACGATCTCCATAGATTAGTAGTGATATAAAACATTTAATGACTGCAAGAAACAACTTGAAAAGAAAAGCAATCATTATACCAAACTTGAAAGAGATGGGAAAACTCTAAAAAAGCTAGAAATGAAACCAACACTCTACTAAGACAGCCCAAAAGAGATTAATACTCCAAAAAATCTCTACAGAAAAGCAAAATCCTAAAGCTGCTTGGAAGATAATTAATACTTTGCTTGGTAAAGATAGTCAACCAACTAAAGTAAATGAATTAAACGTAAATGATATGAAATTGACTAGCCCCAATGATATTGCTGACGGCTTCAATGCCTTCTTTTCAAATATTGGACCAAATTTAGATGAAAGAATTGGTTCAACAGAATGCCATTTTAAACTACCTTGACAAAACTAATTCTGAATTTACTGCATTCAAATCAGTGTCTGTAAACCATGTTTGTCTTTTACTACGTGAACTATCAGGTAACAAAGCTACTGGTCTAGATAAAATATCAAGCAAGATAATTAATATTGCAGCACCATTGATTTCTGATTCATTGACTTACATTTTTAATCAAGCAATTGCCTTATGTATTTTTCCACATGAGTGGAAGATTGCAAGAGTTATTCCCCTTTTCAAGAACGGCAGACGAAACTTGCCAGGAAATTATCGACCAATTTCTGTCTTGCCTGCCATTAGTAAAGTTATGGAGCGCATCTTACATACTCAACTTTATGAATATTTGACTGCAAACAACTTACTCTCGGAGCATCAATATGGTTTCAGAAAATTTCATTCAACTGCCTCAGCTCTACTTGATTGTACAAATGAATGGTACATTAACATAGATTAAAAATTGTTTAAATTGGTTGTATTTGTAGACCTAAAAAAAGCCTTAATTCGATACTGTTGACCATGAAATGTTATTAGAAACACTAATGCATGTTGGAATCACGGGAAATGCATTGTTACTGCTTAAGTTGTACTTAACTGATCGTACACAAAGATGTGAGATCAATGGCTCAATTTCATGTGAAAATGGTATAAAATGTGGTATGCCCCAAGGGTCTCTACTAGGGCCACTTTTTTCTGCTATATATTAATGATTTACCTGCATGTCTAAATAAAACAAAACTGCGCCTGTTTGCTGATGACACTAATATCACAGCAACTGGTGAGTGTTTAACCGATATTGAAAATGCAGTAAATTCGGATTTAGAGAGTCTTCGGAAATGGCTCACGGCAAACAAACAATATCTAAGAAGAATATCTACAATATCTAAGAAGATATCATCTGGGATTTATGCTCTCAAACACATTAAATAAATTTTTGATCAGAAAGCACTCATATCTGTGTACAGTGCTATAATTCAACCCCATTTCAGTTACTGTTGTGAAGTTTGGAATAGTATTCGGCGAAACTCGATCAATACGTTTACAAAAACTTCATAACAGAGCTGCTCGTGTTTTTGCACATGTGCCAAATGAGGTTGACTCAAAAAACGGTATACTGAATATATTAGGTCAAACAGCAAAGAGTAAAAGCCAAAGCAAAACTTATGTTTAAAGTGCTCAATAACATGGGACCATATTCGCTTAAGGAATTATTTACTTTCAAAACGGAAATGTTAAACCACAATCTTCGTGATAACTCAAGTTCAATACGTTTGCCAAAGCCAAAGTCTATCTGTATCTCCATACCACAATATATAAGAGAAAGTAAATCGATTTCATGTTTTAAAAGAAAAATCGCTACCCTTACCTTTTGACGTAACATGATTCACAAATCTTGTAAATAGATACTTTTTGAACATTTATGTATAGGCTATCTGCATGCTTATTCTTTAATCTTTTCATTGTACTTGGTTACTATTTGTAAATATTTTACACGCCCATTGTGGAAACCAGCTTTAGCTGACAATGTTAGCGTGGTTAAATAAAGTTATCGTCATCATCATCAAGTACTCTTGGATGCTGTAATATAAATACATAGGAAGACGAAGAAGTGGCATTTATTGGGCAGAGAAAAAGCGAGTCATTGCAATGGCGCCATATTTCATGAAATACTGAAGGACACAATATCGAATTATCGAAGATAAAATATACTGCACTGTTTCAAAACATATGCCATGTTGACCGCCATGGTCATATTACCCTAAAACAGTTTAGATTACTTTGTAATTGTAATTAAAAACTTCTATAGAAAAAACTTCTATATTTACATTTAAAAAAAACTATACAAAAAACTAAATATATATATATATATATATATATATATATATATATATATATATATATATATATATATATATATATATATATATATATATATATATATAGTTTTTCGTTTTATCTCAAAAAACCACAACAGTCTGTTTCCTATACGGATGAAACAGACTGTTGTGGTTTTTTGAGGTAAAACGAAAAACTATATTACGCTCTATCTATATGGTATTGAGCACTGTTTGTGTTTCGTAAACCAAAATCTTAAGCTATATATATATATATATATATATATATATATATATATATATATATATATATATATATATATATATATATATATATATATGTATATAAACTTCTATATTTACATGTGCTAAATAAAACACATACGAACTCATATATATACATCAGTCATATACAGGTCCAAGGAATATTTCACTCATATTGATTTGTGGGGAATTCTGAAGAAGTCACAAGATATTTAACCTCTTCTGGAAATGAAATACAGAATGTTTGGACAAGCGGTGATTAAATATATGATTGTTTCGGTTTGTGTCAGTACTGTTTTGACGGCATTCGAGCCCCCGTGAAAAGGTTAGTTTATTAGGATTTCAATGGTATTCTTTGTTTTAAAGGGGGATGGATTCGCGCTGAGATACTTACGTTATAAACAATTGAATCGTGACTAATCGTCAAAATGTAGCCTACGGTGTAGACCCCAGCAGAAACACGTTTCGTGAGGGGGTCTACGAATAAACGAAGAAAAGCTTGCACGGCCTACGTCATATCCGTTTTACGTTTTGGGTAAATTAACTTCAATTTATTCAAATTTCTGAAGCAGTGAATCGTTCGAAAATGTAGATTTTGAAAATGTAAATTTTCATTTGGGGCTTTGTGCAATACAAATGTGTTCTTTACTTCAATGTCCCGTCGAATAAAAGCGATATTAATTTCGTGGACAGCAAGGAGACTGTACGTAAGGAGTTAGACAATCGAGGCATCGCGCGACCTTTCCTTCTCCATTTCGCCTACAAAAAGCATTTGTAAAGACTAAAGCATACCTGGCCGCCTGGCGTTGGTAAACAAACGGTAAAACGGAGAAGCTTCAAAGAACGGTTTAATATGTGAGCTAGAGCCTAGACAATACGATAACAAACGTGCACGAAACAGCATTAAACGCTATATATTGGTGTACCGCTTAAAGTAAAGCGAAATGTCGTGAGGAAACTGAGATTCGAGCCGACTTGCGATAAAGCTTTTATGCTGGCTACATTTAGTGTGAAATCGACTTTGTCCTCGGCTTCAGAAATTGGATGTCTTTACAAGCTTCAAGTATTCAACAGCTTAAATGACAAGAACTTTTTAGTCCGTTCGGACATGTGTTTAATGGTTGGGTATATATATGGCCCGGGTTTATTTTATTAGTTTTATTGCACAAAGCCCACCATGGAAGATTTTAATAAGCGCCATATATGAAAATTTACATTTACGCACGCTTGACGCTTGAGAAATTTGAATAAATTGAGGTTAATTTACCCAAAACGTAAAACGGATATGACGTAGGCCGGGCAAGCATTTCTTCGTTGATTCGTAGACCCCTCACGAAACGTGTTTCTGCTGGAGTCTACACCTTAGGCTATCAAAATGTCGCTTGACGAAAAAAATATAAATCTCATCAAATTACAAGATCTAGTCAATATTTGCACTGCTGCTCTTATGTTTAAGTTTCACAACTCTCTCCTGCTTTCTACATTTAACCTCTTTTTTGTGCATGTTGACCAACTACATAATTATAATACAAGGTAATTATCAGCATAACCAATCTTATTCTCTTCCTAAACCAAGAACAAATTATGGTATGTTTAATATTAGATTTCAAGGGCCTA